TCTCTCAGTAATTAGAAAGCAAGCCTGCCCCTTGTCAGTGCAAGTTAATATCAGCTGGTTCAGTCCCTGTGCCATTCCACATTATTACAAATAACTTCATTTCTGGACATTTATGGTTTGATTTCTTTGTATGTATAGATCACTTGGGTTGTTACCAACATCTGGTGAAAATTTCATGTCATTAGCACCTCTAGTAATATATTTACTGAGAAAAATGGTGACGTGTTCAATACTGATTTTACCGGTAGTAAGCACTGAAGCACCTTTTTTACTCTGTGCGTGTTCTGTTTGTGCCACTCAAACTCATTGACTTCCATTGTGTCTGAGCTTAGACTTTCTCTTTAAATTGGAAAGTGAAGGGTTTTTAAAACTTCTCATCTCTTACAGGAACTATTAGACACAGAAAAATGACCGTGCAATGATCAGATGTTTCTACCACAAAACGCTTGGGATTTGTTTTTTCGAAACCAGTTCTAGTTTTCTCAACATAATTATTTGTTGAGGCCTGGGTTTCTGCCTGTCTCATTGGGAGTACTGAGTGTCATGGGTGTGCAGTTAGGTACCATGGTGAACGTTATCCACAACAGCTTTAACAAATCTTTTGCATACTTTTTACATTTTGATTTTTTTTCACAGTGAAACGTGCATGTTTTGTCCCCTTAGATTATTACAAAAGTAACTCCAAAATCATTATTGGAGAAGAAAGAGGTGGAAGCTACATCAACACCCTTCAATTTTTTTGTATGAATGTTATAGCTATATCCATCATTTTATTGGGTTGAACTTTTCTCAGAACTCTGGGGAGGAAATACGGAAGAGGATTAGGGCTACTGAAAAATAAAAAAAGAATTTTGACTTTAATCTCAGAATTCTGATTTTTTTTCTCAGAATTCTGACTTTTTTCTGACTTTAATCTCAGAATTCTGACTTTTTTCTCAGAATTCTGACTTTTTTCTGACTTTAATCTCAGAATTCTGAATTTAATCTCAGAATTCTGATTTTTTTCTCAGAATTCTGACTTTAATCTCAGAATTCTGACTTTAATCTCAGAATTCTGACTTTTTTTCTCAGAATTCTGACTTTAATCTCAGAATTCTGACTTTAATCTCAGAATTCTGACTTTTTTCTCAGAATTCTGATTTTAATCTCAGAATTCGGACTTTTTTCTGACTTTAATCTCAGAATTCAGACTTTAATCTCAGAATTCTGACTTAAATCTCAGAATTCTGACTTTAATCCCAGAATTCTGACTTTAATCCCAGAATTCTGACTTTTTTCTCAGAATTCTGATTTTAATCTCAGAATTCTGACTTTTTTCTTACTTTAATCTCAGAATTCTGACTTTAAAGTCAGAATTACTTTTTTTTATTTTTCAGTGGCCCTGATCCTCTTCCGTAACAAAAAAGTTAAAAAAGAAAAAAAGTCAGAATTAATTCAGAATTCTTACTTCAAAATGCTGCTGAAAAAATATTCTGAATACTGAGTCCTTCTGACTTTGATCTCAGAGTTCTAAATTGATTGATTCATCTTCTTTTTGTCCTAATTTCTTGTCGTTAGTATTTTGTTTGCGGCCTGTATCTGGTCTTTACGGTAACGTGTTCTTTTCAGAAGTCTCACTCCACAGTTCGTTACGGTAGCAGAAGACGTCACCACCCCCAGCGCTCAGGTTACGCCCATTCAGAAAATAATAGAAGAGGGACGGAGCTGGCATTTCTTGGCCGCTGGAGAAGACCCTCAGTTTCTGACACGCTTTGTGCAGAAGAATAAAAAGCACACATTTCAACAGCACTGGGTTCGTTTTCTGGAACACGACCTTTTTTTGTTTTTTGCTTCAGACACAACTGTTGAAGCTGAAACTGAAGGGACCAAAGGTGAGTGATGCGCCTAAAAAAACAAACTCCCTGAACGCGTCACAGCTAGTCATCAGCTAACATCGTCTCAAGCTAACCGCTAACTGAGTTTTAAAAGTTAATGTTTCTGCTGCAATTGGCGATAATACACGTGCTGTGTGGGTCAAGGTGCAAGACTTTGCATCTCAGTGCTGTCTTTTGTTCCTCCTGACCTCATTATTCGACGGTTTAAAGTTCACAAATCAAACTCAATGCTTTCCTTTTTTTGTTTTACGAATTGTTTTCCTGGCGCGTGCTGGTGGTCATTTCCTTTGAAAGGGGTGGGCACAAAATACCAACAAAAGGCAGATAGCAATTTCATACAACCGCGTTAATGTGCATGTGTGAGAGGAAAATGATTTAAGAAAAAAACAAAGCTTTCTCGTCATCCCTCGTTATTGAATCGGTTTGCCTGCTGAGGACCTGCAGGATGTGGACAGACCTCTGATCAACATTTAGTCCACATTTTCTCAACACGTAACAGGGGTTCCCAAAGTTGGGGTCGGGACCCAAAGTGGGGCCCCAAAACATCAAGATGGGGTCCTGAAAAGATTTTCTGAATTAATTACATTTTTGCCTTAGTTGTTATAAAGGAGTGAGGTTAGTGTATTTAAAATGGATAAATGTAGTAT